CAGCTTCAGCTAGAGGGGGGCACATCTCCTGTCCGCACAAGGTCACACATTGGCGCTAACAACAGGCGCGTAACAGGGGTCTTTGGTCAGAGTGGGTATATATTTTTTTTAAATTTTTTGTTTCAACCATCTTTAAAGAGGGTAACCCTTCTAGTTTAGCCCTGTTGGTTAACTGACATTCAGGGGCCCTCTTTAATAAAATTAAAGAACAGTACAAACAACATCATCACTACATAATAATAATAATAATAATAATAATAATAATAATAATAATAATAATAATAATAATAATAATAATAATAATATAATAATAACAATAACAATAATAACAATAATAATAACAATAACAATAACAATAATAATAATAATAATTATTATTATGATTATTTGAAACGTTGAAGTCTTCTGTGCAATCATTTAATGTATTTTTAAATAATTTATGAATTACAATGTATGCAATATCTTTGTCATTTAATTTTTTAATTATGGAGTAATTTTGTTTTGAAATTTTTAAATTGTATTCATCCTGTTTAACTTTTTTGTGCAATATTTTGATGTTCTGGTTTAAACTTATTAATTTATTTTAATTCGATTTTTGTAAATTTTTTTGTTATTACTCTTCTGAGTGTCCTATTCTTTTATCAGCCTTTGTAAATAAACATTTAAATTAACAAATAATTAATAAATTTTAATGTAGATTATACAATTCTATCTCTTTGTAAATAAATTAAAAATTAATGATAATTAATAATTTAAGCTATATTTTGTACTGTATGTTTAAATTTGTATTTTTACTATTTTACTATTTTAATGTTCTGTATTTTCGCCTGTTCTCTTGTATAATTTGTGTGGTTCTGTAATCTGTTCAAGGGGGGATGTAGATAGAGGTGCTTGACACCTGTTCATCCCCTCCTTTTCGCTGCTTTTTGTCTTGTTTTTGAATTGTTCTTGTATTTTTGCAGTGATGAAGTGTAATAAATAAATAAATAAATAAATAAATAATAATAATAATAACATACAATCCTCATTTCCCGGTTAGTAATTTACCATACCCACCCCACCCCACTCCCCATATAGAAAACAATACGACATAGGGCTTATCTTATTTATAATATAGGCCACACACGTGTGTTTGAAACTAAATATAAGCATTTTCATCATGGTTGTATTTATTACAAACACATTCTTTCACCATCTATACACATTGGGGCCCTCATTTTAGGTTAAAATGATCTATCTTAAATTTGTCTTTCTTGAGTTTGGGACTATTATGTTTTTAAATAACTTAAAAGGATAAAACTAAAAAAAGCCCTAAAAAATGCGCGCCAAGTGCGCAAAATATTT